CAGAGGGAATAGGATTGATATCAAGCTGGTTTTGACTCATGGTAACGGTGTATAGGGATTCCGAGGCTGTAAATCATATGTGAGCAGAAAGCCTCATCTTTCTCCTGAGTTGCTGCTGGTGGATTTGAACTGCTGTCCCTATTAAATTTGTCATTTCCAGCCAAGTAAATCATTTGACTGTCAGATTCAAAATGGCCAATTCCAGTTCATTTCAGCTCACTCATGCCTCGGATATCATTCTTTCTCTGTTTGGTTTTGTTTTGGGCCGACTCCCTACCTTTAATAATCATTGGCCTCTCATTATCTCCATCGTCTTGTCTTCTTACGTGTGAGGTCACACGACACTTGCCCTTTCTATTCAGCTGCATCCACCCTGCCGTGTCTGTGGGGCCTTGGTCCCTCCTGCTCGCTGAGAAGCATCCGGTGTGTAGATGGAGCACGCTGGGCTCATCTGTTGATGTCCACCCTTTGTCTGTTGTGAATAGAGCGGCAGTAAACACTGGGGGCAAGTCTCAGTTTGAGTCTTTGCTTTCACATCTTTGGGGTGTAGACCTAGGGGTGCAATGGCTGGTTCTATTTTTAGGATTTTGGGGGAGCTGCGCTACTGTTTTCTACTGTCTTCAGCACTGCTGTCTTCACCCCACCAGCACCAGATAAGGGTCCCTTTCCCCACATCCTTGCCAACATTTGCTAATTTCTTGTATTTTTTTTCTTTCTCTTGTGACTCCTAGCCACTTTAGGGATTGTGGTTTGGGGTCACATTTCTAACTGGCCATGATGCTGAGCAGCCTTTTGTGGGTCTGGAGGCCATTGGAACGTGCTCTTTGATGAGCTGTCTAGTCAAGTCCTTTGTTCATCTTTATGTTGTTCATCTTTGTTTCTCTTTATGTTATTTCCTATAATTATTATACCTTAAAATTCGTTTCCTACTTTGTAATTCTTACAATGCCTTGTCATTTTTGTTGTTGTATGGCACCGGTTCCCACTGACTCAGAGTGCCCCTGCGTGGGATTTCCGAGGAGCGGCTGGTAATCTTGAACTTGTGGTGCAAACAGACTCTGCAGTCCAGTGCACTAACCCACAGCACCCCGCCAGGATGTACTGGTGGTGGTGGTGTGGCGAGAAGTCGGTTCCAACTCACAGAGACCCTGTATAGGGTTTCAGGACTATAAAACTTCACGGGAGCAGAAAGCCTCCTCTTTCTCCTGAGGAACGAAAATTCCTTTTCCTACTCACCTACTGCCTTGTGGTTAGCAGTCCAATGTTTATCCTACAGCACCCAGGGCTCCTTGTAATTCCCATAACACCTCACAGGAACAGAAACTAGTAACCAGTTACCCGCATGTGGCCCGTGTTCTGTAAGGTTGCCAGTGGCTGAATTTTCTGAAATGGTTAGCCAGGCCTTTCTTCCACAACTCACTGAGGCTGCCCTGAGCCTCATCAAAGTCCCCAGAGCCTTGTGTGGCACATGAGACCCCCTCAGCCTTGCAGGCCCTGTCGGGACCAACAAATCCACTACCACTGAGTCAGTTCTGACTCACAGCTATCTTACAGACAGACCTGCCCCATAGGGTCTCTGAACTGTCATCTTCACAGAAACTGGCAGCTTTTTCCCTTGGTGTGTTTGAACCACAGGCTTTGTAGTTAGCAGCCAAGTGCTTAGCCCACTGTACTACCAGGGTTCCACGCTGTCAGACAGGGAGAGTCCTGCCTGACCTCTGGCCCAGGGCCCAAGGGGGTGGCGAGAGGGCTAGTGATGTCAAAGTGCCCACCCATTCAGTGCAAACGCAGCACTCTCTAAGTCCCTCAGAAGAAAGGCCTGGTGATCTGGTGAACAGTCAGCCACTGAAAACCCTATGGGGCGCCAGGCGCTGGAGCTGATTTATCACCAGTCAGGTTTCCAAATGGTTTCGGTCTCAGCCAGACACCTGGCCTCCCTGACCCTGCGATTTCTGGCTTGCTTCTTCAGGAATGGGAGCTGAAGAATGGGACATAGGAAGGTGAGGGGCCGCAGAGACGTCAGACCCTCACGCAAACGTCATCGGGGACGTCATAGGTAACGTCGTGCCCAGAGGGTCCCTGAGCGTTTCTGAACCTGTGCTACTTCTCTTCTTTCTGCTGTAACGTGGGGCCCTTCCCCCACGGGACACTCGTCACCAAACAGAATCACAAAGGAACCGAAAAGTACTGCCCAAGGGTCATGGGCAGGCCTCTCTTGTAAGCCATGGCTGTGCGAATCAACCTTGACCTGCCCAGGACTGAGACGCACGCACCGTCGTGGACCCCGGAGAGTTTGGGCCTGGAGCCCCCACGGCCTGGGCTCCAGCTGCATCAGTGAGTCCACTGGACCGACAGCTCCCGGTCTGCGTCCACTCCTCCATCCTCCACGCCGCCACAGAAGCCATGGATGAAGAGCTGTATGGTGGCACATTTTGTACCTTCTTTATACTTTTTTGGAGAAATGCTTTTGTCACCGGACTTGAAACGCAGCCACCTTTTTAAACCGTTTTTGAAATGTGTCTTTTCCACCCTCGGACTCAGACGTAAGGGCTTACCTGAGACTGTGTATCGCTTATTCTCTAGTTGCACTGCTGTCTGGGGGTGGCACGCAGCTTCTAAGATGTCGATGATCTGAGGGAACAGGCACCTTCTCCCTTCCCAGGACCCCATCAGGGCTTCGCACAGGGCTGAGTCCCACCAGTCATGGGGCTCTTCCTGTGTCTGTGGGACCTTGTCCCCGGGAGTGGAGGTGGGCCCTGAAGGTTGTTGTGCATTGCAGAATCATTGTGTCTTACACAGAGCTTGTCTGTCCCGGACCCCCTCCATTCAGTGGTTCTGAGTATGACATCTCCACACACTGGCCCTCGCTGTCCGTTTCTGCTCACGAGGGACCTACTAGGACCCCTCGGCTCACGTCTCTGCCAGTTTTGGAGGGAGCAGAGGCCTTGGGCAGGGCAGGAGGAAGTCAGAGTTCTTAGGGACCTGCCAGGTACCTCAGCTACGGGAAGGGCAGCCCTCGTGGAGGGTCCTTTGCAGACCATGAGTCCCCAGGCCCTTTGTACCCGGGGCTGCGGTACCCACAAGCAGTCCTTGCCGGTCACAGCACAAGATGGGGAAGGAACTGTTCCTCACGCTCCCTGTCAGTGTCCACCCTCAAGCCCTGAGACCATCTCTCTATTTCCAAGAATCGGAAACTTGGAGTGGGAGCCCACTTGGGCCTGGTGCAGCTTGGTTTGGGGGGAGGGGGGCTATCAGCTGGCTGTCTCTCTCTCAAGTCTAGAAATGGGGGTGAGGTGTCACCCCAGCATTGAGAACTTCCTATGCCTGTGGGGAAGTCCTGATAGGGAGGAACCTTCCAGAAAGTCTACAGAGCCTCCATTCTGCTTGTAAGGAGCAGCGCCCCGTGCCCTTGTGTGCAGAGCCATGCCCCCTCCCCATAGCTGGTTGATGGAAGAGTTGACATCCCCTAGTTCACACTGGGGTCAGGTTGTCAACCTGGGCTGCAAGAGTTTGGCCGTCTCTGGATCATTGATGAAGGCCATGACCTCAGTGTCCAGGGGGATCGGGCCAGGTTCTGATTGCTTCTGTGAGAAGGGAGGTGTCCAGTCTGTGGCCTGTGACCTGTATCCGGGTGGAAAGTCAATGCCTGAGTATCCAAGAGCAGCCAGGGGTCCCTCAGAGACCCTCAGAGCCTCTGCTCCATGTCGGGAATGAAGGGGTGAAGACTTGGAGAGCTTTGTCCTGTCCAGGTGAGCACCAGGACCACATTTGAGCCCTGACCTTCATTCGGGCTGTTGGGGTCCATATTTTGTGTTTTAGAAAAACAAAAGCCAGGTTTTAAAACCCCCTTTCCTAAGCATTTGCCTTTCCAAGAGGACAGCAAACTTTAAGACTGCTGTGATCTCCCACGGGGCCTTTGAAACGGGCCACAAGAGTGGGGTGCACCCATCACCGGGCCTGTGCACGCGTTCATTCCCCTGATTTCTTTAGATTTGATCAGAAAGTTAGTTTAAAGTATTTGCTCCGAAATAAGTTATTTATTTGTATATGTTCAAGAAATTTAGTTTTTAATTTATATTTGTATATATTACACACACATAGACACCTTGTCAGAATTCTGAGAGTGATCTTATTTTATTATCTCCACCCCCCAAAATTCACCCCACAAGAGGCCCCCCTCCCCAGCCCCTGGGCCGATGTAAGCACAGTGGTAACCTGGCCTTGGGGGGTGGGTGGGGGTTAAAAGGTTGGGCCTTACCACTACCCCCTACCTCCATCTGTACGGGAAGTTCCTGGGAGGAAATCTGGTTTCTACTTCATTGTCACCTGGCACCTTTCCAAAACACTGCCTTCACCGAGCATGGACCACGACATCATAGGGTCCCACTCAGAGTCCGAGGAGGGGTGGGAAGTTCAGATGGGACTGGCCTGAGACAGGGCAATGGGCTGCCCCGTGGGCATCCACCTGACCACTCGCACTCCCACCCGAGGCCGCGCTGACTTTCCTGCAAACCCCGTTCCTCACTGTGTTTTCGAAAGGTGTTGTGCACTTTAAAAACCCCCGTCTGTGTATTTTTCTAAATTTTCTCATTCAATCACTAGCCTTTTGCATAGAAACCAAGAAGGTGGTCAGCAGATTGGCTAGGCCACTGCTACCTTGGGTACAAGAAGTAGCAACGTTTGCTTCTTATGTGTGCCCAGAGCCTGAGGCATCCGAGTGGGCAGCCCGACCTGTGCCCAGGACCACGCTCACAGCCCCCACCCTAGGACACCAGTGTCTGCCCATCCAGAGAGGGCCGGTCCTCTCCTACACACAGTCTCCTGAAGGTCCATGCACTATGACCCCCACATTTAGAGCCTCCATCCACCTCAGTGCTGCCTACCTTCTATTCCTCTCATCCCTCACCCCTGCCCCCATTACTCGGGGCTATTTCTTAAAAAAACCCAAAACTACGTTCTCCTGGTGGCAACAACTAGGAATTCCTGGGTAGGTCTCCAAGGGCACCGCTGTGAAGCAGTGTTTGTGAAGGACACGCCCATATTTGAGGTCCCTTTTTATCAGCCAAAGGGAAATACTACATCTGTTGGCACACTACTTGGGGGAAAATGTGGCATACTCATAGACCCAAAAAGCTGGCTTACCAGCAGTTCTCCCTAGGCCCACCTCCTTCTTAAGAACGAGAAACCTTCCAATGGTGTGGTTGGTGGGTCCTCACTTCCCTCTCAGTGAAGAGGACACAGGGGCTGAGGGGATGTTCTTTTTTGGCGTAGTCGGCAGGGGACAGGTCTCCTTGGGATCTCACAGTGGGATCCTTCAACCAACCAGAAGTTGATCATCAGAAATGGCCTCTTCCAAGAGTTCCTATTACATTACTATCAGCAGACAAGGTGCCCCTCAATTTGCATAGAGACCATGGCAGCAATGAAATGCTAAAGTGTTACCACTCTCTTTATTTTTTCTAAAATAAGATTTTAATAGGAAAAAGTTGACTTCAAATTCAGGGCATCATTTTAAAGGAGGGGGGCCTTTGTTATTGCTGTTCCCATGGTAACTGTCTGATATCCCTCCCCATGATGGACTGACCTCATACTGTGAAACAAACTGAAGTTTGGGGGCTGTGTGGCTTTATTTTATCATTGTTGTTAGGTGTGAAGTCGGTTCCAACTCACAGTGACCCTATGTACAACAGAACAAAGCTCTGCCCGGCCCTGGGCCAACCTCACAATCTCTGCCATGGTGACAATCCATCTTGTTGGGGGATCTTCCTCTTTTCCAATGACCTTCTGCATTACCAAGGACGTGGGATTGTAAAGAAATCTAAATGGCTCCTGTAATACCCCCAAGCCCCCCAAGGCATGGTAGACCAATTCATCATTTTCAAGGAAGGAGAACTTTACTCCCAGGGGATGGCTGGTTTCAGACGCACTATTTTGCCTGTTTGTGTGTGTGTGTGTGTGTGTGTGCAATAATCCAGTCATTTCCTCCTGGAAAGGGCCAACTTTACAGTGTTCAGGGGTTATTAGGTAACATATTAGATATTATTGTGGGAGATCTTTTAAAATGATATCATCAGATCATAATTCCTAGGGACCAAAGGTGTTTATCATCGGGTAACTTTTTCATTTGACTTTGTACTGGGAAGAGAAATAGTGACTTCAAACTTTCATATCCATTTCTAAGCGATGCATATTCAGCCTCAGTTGCCCATGGCTATGAGTTGTAAAGTGTTTTCATAATAAGAATGTAATTATTTCCTGATTGTATTTTTTAAGAAATAAAATTCATATTTAAAAAAAGAAAGAAAAAACTCTCTTTGAAAGAAAACAGCAAAAACACAGGAGAGTTTTTTTTTTGTTTTTTGTTTTTTAACTTAAATATGTTGGTAGTGCCCATTTTTAACGGCTGTAAATATATTTTCACTATTTCTCAATGTATTTAATTCATAAAGGGGAGAATTTTATCAAGAGAAATTTGCAATGGAAATACTACTTTTCAGACTTTCTGCCCCATTTTGTAGTAGCTTCACTTGAATTTTCTGCTTTGCAGATGGATTTTTCTACTATTTTACATGGTATAGCCAACAGACTGGCACCCTGGGGTGCGACCCTGTGTGTACAACGAATAAACTACTATTCCCACAAGCCCTCCGCGTCTTCTCTGACTTGGTTTAGATGTGGAATGAGGCCTTCCTGAAGCCACAAACCCCAAGGTGTGACTTCCAGTCAAAGTGGGTTCTTCCCTGACCACAAGTCAGGTCGTAGGTGGGAGAGACGGGTAGGTGAAGAGAAGGAGATGGGAAGGGATTGCCTCAGCTATGTTAGCAAGAAGCCTCTCACAAAGAAATAACACGAAGTGTCCTGGGGCCATTGAGGCTGGACACACACCAAAACATCTTGCTGAGACCATCTTTAAACCTCGAACCAGGGCTCTTCCAGAAGTCTACTTTGGACTAAAGAAGAGTTGAGTTAGTCAGGCGTGGGCACCTTGAGCAGTGT